TGCAGTGGCCAGATCTCAGCTCACTGCAAGCTCCGCCTCCCGGGTTTACGCCATTCTCCTGCCTCAGCCTCCCGAGTAGCTGGGACTACAGGCACCTGCCACCGAGCCCGGCTAGTTTTTTGCATTTTTTAGTAGAAACGGGGTTTCACCAGGTTAGCCAGGATGGTCTCGATCTTCTGACCTCGTTATCCGCCCGTCTCGGCCTCCCAAAGTGCTGGGATTCCAGGCTTGAGCCACCGCGCCCGGCCAAGACTTATATATTTAAAGCTTACAGACTATATAGGGAATACCAAATTTTCACAAATCAACATTTATTTTTTGTACACACATTTGTAAAAGCAAAGTAAAGATCTCTGAAAGGATATATTCCAAATGGTGGTTACCTCTAGAGAGGGAAGGGACAGGATCACAGGGTCGCTTTTATTTTGTTTATAAAATCTAAATATATTACAATGAGAATGTACTGACATAGTATTGATATAATGTAAAACTAATTTAAAAGATTCAAGGCCAGGCACAGTGGTTCATGCCTGCAATCCCAGCACTTTGGGAGGCCAAGGTGGGTGGATCATCTGAGGTCGGGAGTTCCAGACCAGCCTGACCAACATGGAGAAACCCTGTCTCTACCAAAAATTCAAAATTAGCCGCGCACGGTGGCGCACGCCTGTAGTCCCAGCTACTTGGGAGGCTGAGGCAGGAGAATCGCTTGAACCCAGGAGGCAGAGGTTGTTGTGAGCCAAGATCATGCCATTGAACTCCTGCCTGGGCAACAAGAGCGAAACTCTGTCTCAAAAAAAAAAAAAAAAAATTCAAATCTAACTCAGTTAAGTGGGGCAGGAACCCAGTATTTTCTGGAACAACAAAAACATCAAGCTGACTTGATACCCAGAGTGATTTTCTACATGGCACAAAGTTTCTATTTTTTTCCCCCCTTTTCAATTTTGTTTTACTAGAACTACTGAAAACAGTATCAAGTCTCTTCTAGAGTAAATTTTACAACAAATACTTGATTCACCTATTCATTTTTTAGTTCAAAGCAAATTTCAATGATTTTCTGCCATTTTAAGTTTTCCTTTGTGGCCATTATTACTAAATCTGGTTTCTTACTTTTCTTTTCTTTCCTTTTTTTTTTTTTGAGACAGTGTCTTGCTCTGTCACCCAGGATGGAGTGCAGTGGTGTGATCTCGGCTCACTGGAACCTCCGCCTCTTGGGTTCAAGCAATTCTCCTGCCTCAGCCACCCAAGTAGCTGGGATTACAGGCGCACGCCATCACGTTCAGCTAATTTTTGTACTTTTAGTAGAGACAGGGTTTCACCATATTGGCCAGGCTGGTCTTGAACTCCTGACCTGGTGATCCGCCCGCCTTAGCCCGTCTTAGCCTCTTAAAGTGCTGGTTTCTTAGGTGAAATTTTACAGATCTAATTTTTTGGGATGTTTTAACCATTTTGTCATTTTTTTTTTTTTTTACTCAACAGTAAACTGGTATAATTTCAACCTTACCAATTCTAGGAAACCCAACCAAATCACTCCAAGGACCAAAATGGAGGAGACTGAAATAGTAGGGCCAAAACATGTTAGGAATAAAAAATATCCTGCTTTAACTTAAACAGATTTACAAGAAAAAAAAAACATCAAAAAGACAGCAAAGGACATGAACAGACACTTCAAAAGAAGACATACATGCAGCCAACAAGCATATGAAAAAATGCTCAACATTACTGATCATTAGAGAAATATGAATCAAAACCACAATAAGATACAATCTCATGCCAGTGAGAATGGCTACTATTAAAAAGTCAAAAAATAAGAGATGTTGGCAAGGTTGTGGAGAAAATGGAACGTTTATACACTGTTGGTGAGAGTGTAAATTAGTTCAACCATTGTGGAAAGCAATGTGGCAATTCGTCAAAGACGTAAAAACAGAACTACCATTTAACCCAGCAATCCCGTTACTAGGTATATACCCAAAGAAATATAAATTTTTCTATCATAAAGATATATGCATATGTATGCTAATTGCAGCACTATTCAGAATAGCAAAGACATGGAATCAACCTAAATGCCCATCAATGGTACACTGGATTAAGAAAATGTGGTACATACACACCATGGAATACTATGCAGTCACAAAAAAAAGAATAAGATCATGTACTCTGCAGAACATGTATAGAGCTAGAGGCCGTTATCCTTAGCAAACTATTGCAGGAATAGAAACCCAAATACCGCATGCTCTAACTTAATAAGTGGGAGCTAAATGATGAGAACATATAGACCCACAGAGGAGAACTATAGACACTGGGGTCTACCAGAGGGTGGAGGGTGGGAGGAGGGAGAGTATCAGGAAAAATAACTAACGGGTACTAGGCTTAATACCTGGGTGACAATAAACCCCTGTGACACAAATTTACCTATATAACAAACCTGTACATATACCTCTGAACTTAAAATAAGTTAAATATACATACATATATTCATACATAAATGTATACTTATATATCAAAGCAGGATATATACATACACATATACAATTTTTTGCTACAATTTTGGCCAAAAAACCCCATATATATATATCCTGCTTTGATGCCTAACACACAGTATATCCTCAATAAATGCTCTATCAGTGAATAACCTACCTCAATGAAATGCTGGAACCTCCAATGGAATATATCTTAAGCTGAATTCAACACATCTCGTCAGAGTTAAATGTGGTTATCTTCTGTTTGCTACTCCTCTTTAACTAATAGTATCTCCATCTTCCCAGTTACCCAGATTCAAAACTTGGCTCATCTCTGCACCCAACTGGTTGTGGACACCACGTCTTTGCAGTATTTCTTATACCAGTCCTTTACTTTCCATTCCCAATTTCCACAATCCTAAAGAAAAGCCTCATGTCCTCGTACCTAGATTATTTTAAGTTTCTTTTTTATGTTCTTAGTCTTTTTTTTTTAAACTCCAACCCCATTTACATTCACTGTTAAATAAGTTCCCAAGTCCCACTTTTATTCCTCAGGTACAAAATATTTAATCATACTCCTCAGTTCACAGTGTGTTATCATCATCTGTATAATACCTCTCTTCTAACTGATTCATTTCTTTCCATTTCCATATCCTATCCCCCTTCCCCTTACCAAGAAGTTATTCTTCTAATTTGTTTGACAAACATTCTTCTATTTCTATGTTTTCCTCCTTTTACCCTCTGCATTAGATGTTTTAAAACCTATTGATGTTGCTGTGGTATATTTATTACAGTATATCTATTTTTATTATTTTTAAAGATTTAATCTGTAAAAAACTGGTTGTATACAATTTCAGTGACTTGGTTCATTGTTTCTGATTGATGCAAAGTACTCCACATGTTGTCTATCCACTCCCGCAGCATTGCAGATTCACGGTATCTTTAATCGCCAGTCATCAAAAACAATGTTGAAATGAATTATCTCCTTACATGTCCCCTTACGAACCCATGTGAGAATTAATCTCTGCTTATAGACCCAGAAACAGACTGTTAGGTCAAAGTGAATCTTATCAAGAAAATGATGAACTGTCAAATTGTTCTCAAGACTGACTACACTAATCGGCACTCCTTGAGGCTCCTATTTCCCTGTGTCCAGCCAGTATGTAGCATTATCTAGCTTTGCTTTCTAATTTTTGTTAGCCTAATCGGTATAAACTAAAAGAATGTTATAATTTAGATTTCTCTTATTACTAATGAATTTGAGAACTTCATCAAATTAAATTTCCCTTATGACTTCAAGCTTTTGAGGTATTAAGAAATACTTTCCTAATACTATGTCAGAAAGATAAATCATGTTTTATTAACTTTATAGTTTTGTCTACATTATTTTGGTCCTTCTTTATAAACAGCAAGGACCCAATTTTATTTATCTCCATCTAGTGAGCAGGTTTCTTCATGCCACCTACTAAATCAAGCTTGTACTTAACTAATCAATTTGTAATGGCATTTTTATCTCATTCACTTCTCATATATAAATCAATCTGAGTTCTCTATACTGTCCCAGTGTTCTGCTTGTCTGTTCTTGTGCCAGTACCATATGTTTTCTTTTTTTTTTTTGAGACGGAGTCTTGCTCTGTTACCCAGGCTGGAGTGCAGTGGCGCGATCTCGTATCACTGCAGCTCCGCCTCCTGGGTTCACACCATTCCCCTGCCTCAGCCTCCCGAGTAGCCTGTCTCTTATACACATCTAGATGTGTATAAGAGACAGGTGTTAGCCAGGATGGTCTCAATCTCCTGACCTTGTGATCCACCCGCCTCGGCCTCCCAAAGTGCTGGGATCACAGGCGTGAGCCAACACGCCTGGCCAGTACCATATGTTTTCACTATTACTAGAGTGTTTATTATGGGGCGGGGTAAGTTTCCTACTTTTTCTAAGTATACTTGA